TTTCAATAAACAAATACTGAATTTCATTTTTCGTTTGGAAGTACGTATACGAGTTTCTTACTTTGTGAAAAAAAAAGTACTAATAACACATTTTTGAATGGCCATTACTATTTATTTTTTACGGAAAAAAACTCCGTATTTGTTCTTTATACATAATAAATCAGTAAGCCTCGTTTTGTCACATACCTTAAGTAGGTCGTAACTAGTATACCACCGGTTTATGAGTGCAATTAATAGACACGAAATTAGAATTGGGTCATTTGCTCCGTCAGTGTGAGGTGTATTTCTGGATCTCATCAGGAATTTTAAAAATTCTGCTTTGTCAATACATTTTTATGTATTATTAAGTATAAATGTTCCCTTTCTTTAATCGTTTTTAAGCATATGTAATTTTTGGGAAAAGACATGTTAAATCTTTCGCACTCATAAAAAAATTAACAAAACAACACTAAAAGTTTTAATCATTTTGCAGACAAAATAATCCCATCCTACGATATACGTCAGTGTTAACTTAACCTAAACTGTGTAGTTTACCATTAATATTAGAAATGAAGTGATTAAAAAAAAATGTGGAAACTTAATTAATTTGATCAAAGTTCATAGTATTTATTAAGAGTAACAACTTTTAGTAGTTTTGAAATAAATCTTTAAACCTCAGAATTTTGGTTCATTTACGTGTTTTACATTGACCTATAAATATTCGTAGTGAATAGATCAGTTATGCTGCTTATGCAACATTTTCATCAAACTACTGGCTTAATATAGTGGGTAATTTTATTCGTGTTTGTGTTATGTTTCTTTATTCAAAATTACGACATTTTTATTTTAGCTTGTTTCAATGATATATTTGTGTTTGAAACAGAAGTGTTAGCGTTTTTATCGATATTTATTTAAACCAAGGTTATACTTGTATAGATAATAGCAGTAGTTAGAACTATTAAGGTTGTCTACAGAACGTAATGATGGCGTCATTCCACTTTGTTGCACGCAGGTTAAGACTTAGGAAGGTATATTCAGATTCCATACTTAAACCGAACAGCAAAGGATAAAAATAGAATATTTTGCCTTGGAAAATGTGCCCAGTTCATTTGGTGCGTAACCGCGTATACTTAAAATAGTTTTTGCCAACTATGCCTTGGTGCCAAGTAGCACAGAGTGCAATGCGAAAATACTCTAACTTTTTAAAGGTTATTGAGAAAAGAACGGCACCGAGGAAGAACTATTGTTGACATTAAAAATTTGAAATATTTTAGCACGTTAGTGAAATAATTCTTAATTATTACACATTTATATGTTCTGTTAATTGCAGGATGCTTATATATTGTATATACATTAGTTTAACATGCTAAAATCGGTAAAAAAGACAAGTGAAAGTTATAATTATATTTGATACTTTTGGGAAGATGTGAAAGTGAGTATCGTCAAGGCTAATAACTTTTCAATCAGGTTATTATTAAACATCTTTAATTTTAAAGTTTCTGACCTGATTTTTTTCTCTACATTTACACTGTACATTTAATGTGTGTAAACCAACCAGTTTGGTTTGTTATATGTATATACATGAACAAACACATGTAGTGACCTTGAAATGGAGTACTATCTTTAATTAAGTTTTCTCATGGTAGTGAGTGAAACCATAGCTCATAATTTGTAACATTATTT